CTCTCTCCCTCTCTCCCTCTCTCCCTCTCTCTCCCTCTCCCTCCCTCCTCCCAAAACACAAGTTTTCTCTGTGTATAGCCCTGGCTGTCCTGGAACTTACTCTGTAGACCAGGCTGGCCTCAAACTCAGAGATACCCGCCTGCCTCTGCCTCCCGAGTGCTAAGATTAAAGGCATGCACCGTTACCATCCAGCTTGGGTATTTTTCTTCTTACATTTATATACTTAAGGAAACATACTTGAAGGTGACTTAATCTACCTTTGCTTTTTGTGGGGATGGGAGGAGTGCTTTTGAGACAGGTTTTCTCTGTTTCACAGCTCTGGGTGTCCTATAACTGGCTTTGTGAACCAGGCTGGCCTTGACCTCAGAGAAATCTGCCTGCCTCTGCCTCCCGAGTGCTGGGATTAAAGGTGTGCGCCCCCTGCCTAACCTACCTTTTACTCTTTGTGTGTTAGATTTGTGAGAACAGAGACAAAAAGACTTGGGAAAGATGGGCTATATATTTGAAAGTAGATCTACTTCTTTTGCTAGAGATGTACAGTCTGCTGTACTAGACAAGGCTGAATATATAGAGATGCTTAAGAATAGTTTCTCCTTGATGCTAATAAAATTCATTCCATTGGAGAGTTTGAGTGTTGAGATAGCTATGCTTTTAGTCCGTGAATTAGCTGCTATATTAAGTTTGTTTATATTATGGGCATGGATAATACTATGTATCTGACAGGAAACTTTAAGGGTCCATACCTGTATTCCAACGTTTTTGTTTTAATTTTTTTGGTTTTTTGAGACAGGGTTTCTCTGCGCCTTTCCTGGATCTTGCTCTGTAGACCAGGCTGGCCTCACAGAGATCCACCTGGCTCTCTCTGCCTCCTGAGTGCTGGGATTAAAGGCGTGCCAACGTTTTTTAAAAGATACAACAGTCACTGCATTTGAAACATTGTAAATCATATGAACTTACTTTGTTTATTTAATTAAAAAACAAAAAATAGAACCATTGGCCAGCGTGGTGGGTGGTATACACTTAGTTCTAGCACTCAGGCAGAGGCAATTGGATTTCTGTGAGTTCAGGGCCAGCCTAGTCTATATAGTAAGTTCCAGGCCAGCCAGCTACATAGACTACATAGGCTACATAGACTCTGTCATGTTTCCAAAATTTTAAAACAAACATATTAATCTGTATGCTTACTGTGTTCAGGATATATTACAATGAGAGCTTTTTTGTGTTTTTGTAAGAGTATTTATTTGTGTTTTTAAGAGTATTTATTTTGGTTTTTTGAGACAGGGTTTTTCTCTGTAGTTTTGGTGCCTGTCCTATATCTCTCTCTCTAGACCAGGCTGGCCTTGAACTTGCAGAGATCTACCTGGCTCTGCCTCCTGAGTGCTGGAATTAAAGGCGTGCACCACCAACGACCATTAAGAGTATTTTAATCCAGTGTGAAATCTTGATTAAGAGGCCGAAAATATGACTTAGTGGTTGAACATTTTTGTAGCATGCGCAAAGGCCCTGGATTCAATCCCGAGCACTCCTCACTCCCACATAAACCACAACCAAAACCAAATTAACAACCCTCAAATAACAACAAAAACTTAAAATACCCAAGGAGAGAACTTAATCTATAGGGTAATCTAGTCATTGAGACATGTACAAGCTTCCATTGGTTTGGAGTTTTGGAGGAGTGTACCTTTTTTTTTTTTTTTTCCCAAAGACAGGTTTTCTCTGTGTGGCCCTGGTTGTTCTGGAACTAGCACTGTAAACCAGGCTGGCCTCAAATTGAAGAGATCCACCTGCCTCTTAGTTTGTAATACTGGGATTAAAGAGCTACACCACCACCACCTGCCTGGCAAGGATTGTACTTTTGGGGGGCGGGGTTGGGAAGATAGGGTCTTTTTCCTATCCTGAGTGCTGAGATAACAGGTGATACTGCTGTGCCTTATGAGTTTCTGAGAGCAAACTGACTGGGCTTTGTGCACTAGGGACAAGTACACACTACCTGCTGAGCTACTTCCCAGCCCAAAGGAGTGAGTATCCTTTTAAGTAAGCTTCCTTCCTGGATTCATGTTGTTTTTCTGTTCATGTTTCATGCTTTAGTTTTGGGCTTAATTTATGCTAACCTGTATTTTATTTGTGTAGTAGCCTTCTGAAGACTTATTTCAAATCAGTTACCTCCAGATAAACTTGCTGGTGTGCAATTCAAGGCAGTGAAGCCCCTTGAATTTTGGATGTTCTTGATTGCGGTGGAACTTGTGTAATAGAGTGGCTTTCTAGAATTTTGTAGGTCTTGTGGTTTGTTGTTTGTTTTTTGAGGTACTCTGAAATGCTGTATATTACAGTTCCTCTTTGAAATTAAAGATGCAGAGATGCTGCTGCCAAAAGTGGCAGTCAGATTGTTTTGTTCCTTTTCTATGCTTTCATTTCCACAGTGATAAGGTAGAAGAAAACTCAGCCAGAGGGACTAAGTTGTCATCTCTGATAAATCATCTATTGGGTGGAGGTAGTGGTGAATATGAGCAAAATACATCGTATAACTTCTCAAAGAACTAAAAACAAAAGACAAAAATGCTGACTCTAGGACTAAGTATGATTACTTAAAAAAAAAAAGTAGTCCATTGAAGCTATTGTGTTTCTT